AACATCGCAATTACTTGCTTCCTAGGTAGCTGTAAAGTGGGCACTTCGGCCTGCTAGTGCCGATACAGCCCTCACAAACTGAGGGTCGTGGGATATGGGTCAGGGCTTCTGTGGACGGGGTCTGCCTATCTTGTGTTCAGTTTTGTACTCTATATAATGTTCCAATATATTATGTTATGTTATATGATGATGTAGTAGTCGTCGTATATTCTACTGGAGTATATCAGGGTGACTCAGAATTCGTGCTCAGCTCCACCCTCGTGAAGGGACGATGTCGGAGGGACACCTTGCTTGGCTTCATAGCAAAACAAGCAGCTTCATTTTTCTTGAGGGTTTGAGGGACTTTTCGCAGTCGGCGGCCTACTTGTCCCCCTCCCTCTTCCCTTTAGTTGATTAGTATATTTGGGGGTCTCAGAGGAGCTCGTGGCCAACGCAGGACAACCTGCAGCTGCTCCAACGCCCCGCCACTTAGTCGCCTTCTCGATTACCGCGAGCGTCTGGTGACCAAGCTCCTGATGAAGCTCGGGGTATCATAGAGGCTTCTCAACCTCAGCCCAAGCCTTCCTGTCATCTTTCTTCACTCCGAGGGTTTTGGTCTATGGGATTTCGGCTAGGCTCGAGTTTCCGAGGCGAGTCCTAGGCCTAGCAGGTGCTTGAAATGTGAGCACAAATACCTGAACATCTGCTCATCAACAGAGCAGCTTCAAAGCTGACCTTTAATGCTACACGGCCCAAACTCTAAACCCGACGCCCATGACCCAAACCCCAAGCCGCTACACCTAGACCGATAAAGCTTACGGCTTTACTTGCTTCTGAGTGGCATCAGCCCGTCAAGCTTCATTACTTAGTCTTACTGGCAGCAATTGGTCAACATACCTCTTCTGATTGAAACATCGCCTACTAGGTTATCTGCTTTGGAGGCACTTGCGTATTCAAAGAAACCCGCTGCTCCTAGCTTGTCCCGGAAGACCCCACATTCAACTCTGGTTCTGCGGCTTTGTGTGGGTCTCGAGCTTCCTGAATTTTACACGCCTTGGTACCCTGAGTCCGAGCCACCGCGACCAAATACATAATTAGCCGGAAGGATGTCGGTGTGTTTGTTTGTTTGTGTGTGTGTGTGTGTGTCTCTGTGTGTGTGTGTGCGCGCGTGTGCGTGCGCGTGCGCGTGTGTGCATGTGTGTGTGTGTGTGTGTGTGTGTTTGCGTTGGGCTTTGTGGGTGTGTGTTCTCTCACCTAATAGTCCACCATGACCATCACTGCCGCAACCACCATCACTATAGCAGCATCAGCATCAGCACGATCATACAATGTCCTCCTTGTCGTCATCAGGGGTATCTCCATCAGTAACATGATCAAGGTCATGGTCATGAGCCAATGGTGACGACGCTGATAACGTCCGTCATCACCAGCATGACCGCCATCATCACCAGCCTTCACCTCATTATCATCGTTGCCGTCATCAAAGTCGCCATCACCAACAGCATCATCGTCACTATCGACATCTTCATCATCGACATCATTATCCGCTATGATCATCACTACGGCCGTTGAACATCCCAGGCTCTGTGAGCGTCTGGCCGTCCACAGACTTCGGGGGCGGTGCGGAGGGCGATCGCGAGCGTTTGACCATGGCGAGGTGGCGGCAGCGGCGCCAAAAATGCGGGCCCTTGCCTAGCTCAAAAAGTCAAGGTGGGGAAATCGCGATAGGGTCTAGGGTTTGTGGTGGAGGGTCAGTTCTTAAGCAAGACAACGAACATCTGTTCAATCCATCCCGTGATACTGACAATTGGGAATATGAAATGCATGCACACTGCCCCAGCACCTCGGAAACCGATTCTGCCTTGCAGGACTGAAATATAGAATACTTACTAACCTAGTATGTAATCTGTAGCAGTGGCCGGTTGCACGTTCAACTGGATTCTCAGCAATCTCCAACTCCGTCTCTGACATCGGCATGTTTTGTGAATTCCCAGCCGCAAGCTCTAATGCCGCTTGCATGTATTTCATAATGCTGGATGTCCAACTGATCTTAACATGACACGATTTGACACGAATCAATCAACATCGCATCAGGAATGAGAAAACGCGTATGTTCGAATGAATGGGACCTTCGTCTGTGCTTGTGCACGGCGGTCGCAACGTGCAGTGTGGGTTTTTGCAGGCCTGCAAAACATCGAAACAAAAGCCCGGAGGTAGACAGGCTTCGCTCGCAGGCTAGTCGCGATCGCGCAGAAGTTGGTGTGACAGTGCGGCGCCGACGGCGCAGGCAAAGCTAGCTCGGCCCATGCAAGCCGCACGAGCTGCGCTGCCAGGAGTTGGGCTTAGGAGGCCTCCCCAGAAACAGAAAGACTTGTCCATTATTCAGGGTCTATACCCGTTTAGGGCTTCGGGTGAAAGACCCTTTAGACGGAATGGGCTTGAAAGTTCCGGCAGTTTACGCTTTGGGCTAGAGGCTCCAAAAGCGGCTTTTTGAGGGCCTAAAGAGCTTTCTAAGGTATGCCGTATGCCGATGTGGAGTGCGATCCTGTCGAGGATCAACCGGCAGCCTGATAACGGAGCTTAAGTAGGATCGTCGAGGTTAAAATCGGTTAAAAGGTGCATTTTACGCTATAGGCCTACACAGAGCATACTCAAATTCTGCACGCTTCTAGTTCCCAGATCCCGCTGAGGGAATTCGCAACTTTCTGGCCCCTAGCCTCCTTCCGCTCTTGCCGGGCGTGCGCAGCTTGCTTTGCTAATGCCGTGGCAGGCAACGAGTCTGAATTGCCTGGGTTGCTGTTCAGGGACCTCAAAACGATGTTTTCTTGCGACAACTTAATGGCTTAGAGTGGCTTAGAACGACAAACCAGCCATGCAAACCATAATCGAACTCCAAGTGCACACCTACGAACTCCACCTGTGTGGCCCATCACGCAGTGGGCAAAACATGAAGAGATGTTCTGGACAACAACCCAGGCACGTCGGACTCTGCATTGGCACTCAGCCTCCGCTTGGACAGCGCGCCGGACCCTCGTGGGGCCACCGTCTTGACTATGCATACCATCACATAGAAGAGAAATTAAAATTAGTTCAAGCTTCTGATGACGAAAGACCTGAAACTTCCTCTGCATTTGGCTCTGCATGAAGTTTTTCGACAAACGTCTGACTGTCTGTCTGTCTGTTTGTTACGCAGCCCTGACAAGCCCTGACCTCTCATCGCCGTAAACCGTGCCGTGAACCTGAAACCGACACGCTTGAACTAGCCAGAAAACCAAAGCCGAACTGATGCTCCAAAGCCCCAGGCCGACTTCACATTACAACTTGCTGCACTTCCCGAGACCTTAGCAAGTGCAGTTTGTCAGAACCTTACTAGAACGAAAAGTCTAGATACCAACGCCCCAGCACTGTTCAACATGGACACTGAGGACATGAACAAATCTAGTCCGTCCAACCCCAGCCCAACATAGACCCACCCCGTAAAAGACCAGAAAAACATAAAAAAACAAGATACATTCCCCAATAACAACCCAGCTTCTCAAACCCCGTAACACAGGTCCTGCTTCATCTCCATATTGTAAAACCAAGCCGATAAGCCTGAAAAGATAAAGCATAGACCTTAAAGACCTCTATAGCAATGCTTCAAAAGGCACCTAAACCCTAAAGTCCTGTTTAAAAGACCTGAAGACCCGTCAAAGGCGCGGCGCGGGATCCTCGGAGGGCAGAGGATGGATCGCTCACGAGCAGAGACCGTCGCAGGCAACGGAAGCAATTTCGCGACGCTGCCCAGTGGTTTTTTTGGGGCTAAGAGGGGTTTACCTGTAGGGTTTAGGATTCGGGCGTTGTAGGGTTTGGAGGCTTCTGGGTTTTGGGCTTATAGGGTATGTAGGGTTCAGGGTTTCGGTCTTGCAAAGGTTATCGGATTTACGGTTTCGGGGTCTTGTGTTTAAGATGTCTGAGAGTTATAGTCTTTACTGTAAGTCACCGGAGTCGTTCCACCCGAGCCAATTTGGCATCCTTTGCTCCAGGAATCTCTTGCAGTATTCGTTTGCCCGGGCGCCTCCCGTCACACCCCACCCGAAGGCTCTCGGTTCGTAGATTGTTTGCCGGCCACAGCTTGCTAGAAGATATCTTGCTTTCAGGGCCAGGGTGAGGAATCTCATGTCTCAAGTTTAAATCCCTGCACACCCATCAAACAAAATGACATGACATAAGCATAATTAAATGGTAATAGTCATGACAGAAACCACAACAACAGCCAACATATAATCACACAACCCTTTCAGACCATAAATAGAGCCCCTTTGAGCCAAATGCTGCAGCCAAGAGGACACCGTTTTCGCAAGTTGAAGCCACTGCCCCCCACGACTCGCCAGACTTCTCAAAGAGCCCAAGGCTGCTTCTGATAATTGCAAAAAAAGCCTCTGATATGATTAGAAGAGGGTTTCGCGGCCCATTATAGTTACTACACTTGTAGTAAGGAACCACCAAAATAGTATGTATATGTATATATATATATATAGGTAATTATTGAGGCCCTTACAGATCAGACTTGCTATATAGTGGGATTTCCCGGGGCCTGTGTCCCACAGAGCACCCTGGAGGAGGTTAGAAGAACCAGTATGCACTAGTGACTCCAGCGACGTGGCTTCGAGATTCTAACGATTCTGGCATGGTAAGGGGTGGATCCAGGACTCCTCTTAAAGCTGGCTTTCGTTGGGAAAGTTCTGAAATCTAGGAATCGGTGGGAAGCTTCCAACCGTTTTCCTCAGATGAAGGAGACGGGACGACATCTTGCAATTTCGGGCTTCGGGTTTCAGGGTTCATAGGGTTGAGGGTCCCTTTGCATCACCCAGACGTGATTATCGACTTCTTGGAGCAGATCCGAAAGCCATGGTTACATAAGCCTTAGGAGCAAAGGCTGAAACCCTGAAGGTCTGGACCCGACATCTACTTGACTACGGGAACAAATGTTGTCCTTAAACACCCGTGTAGCTACGTTCGGCAGGCTGATGGCTTGCGGCCTTTCCGGAGTCGGCAGAACTTCGCGGCCTGGATTTACGGGAAAGGGTTCAGGCATGATGGTGGTCGAAGGCTGAGGCTTTAACATGTTGGGTCTTAGCATGTTGTGGTTTAGGCTTGAGAAGTTTGGGGTATGAACATCGGGAGGTGTTGATTCGGAGCTCAAGATGCCCGGCCTGAATCATGAGAACGGATCTGGAGGTCTGAGGTACATAATGATGTGCGGAGGTGCGACTGCTTTGGCTGCAACGCTCGGGATCTGCAGTTTTAACCCAGGTGGTTACGGGCTCATGTTTGCATGTTGTAGTGACTGCGATGATCTTTACAAGAGCCGGAAGAGTCTTGACCCAGGTTTACAAGCCGCAGACCTCAAGTACGGTGTGGACTGGCCTGAGCATCTTGCTTCAATTACCACTGCCGTGAACTGTCCGCTCGTCTCAAGGCCGAACAAAAGCAGGAAGAAATCAAACTTGTCGGTCGGGCTGGTCGGGAACTGCGGAGAAGAGGGGTGTGATAGTTGAGTCGTTTCGTGAGGGAGAATGCAGGCATATGCCGCTCGGGCCACGGTACAGGGGCTTTCGTTGGGTGCTGAGCCGGTTCTACGCTGGAGTTCGCCATGTAGCCTTGTGTGACGGCCGTATCAAACTCGTATATGTACCTCTCATCTACCCATCACTGTAAACTCGGACCTTCTCCAATGCGGCGGCGCTCGGCTGCAGCAAACGCTGAGTCGAAGAAGTCGGCGACAAGCTTCCTCGGGTTCACACTTGCAGAGTGGATTCACGTGGTCTGGACTTCAGAGACCTTACACCAGGGAATTGCCTATGCGCAGAGGAACTCCAAGGAACTCCAATTCGACTTTGTAAGATTGGGAAGCTCTTGCACAATCGTCACCTCCACATGCACTGGTCCCTCCAAGATCAGAAGCTTAGACTTAGACCTTTGCCGAACTCGATGACACAAAATGTCCCCATCTACCGTCGCAGGCCAACGGGACAAGAGTCAAATATCTGGCCCGATCCTTGAAGAAACAGCCAACGTGATGGCAGTGCTGGACCACGACAAGCTCCTGCTGAACATTCATACACACATGTGTGCGCACAAGTACACATACAAAAATACAACTATGACGGTTGCTTGTAGACGTACGCGATGAGGCATGATGCATGCATGCATGCACACAACTGTCATATGTTCGGTATCTGTCTATAGACTTGTAGAGTACGTTTTTTTTTACCTTTGTTGGACTAGAACAGACCCTAAACCTGAACCGTGACTCTGCAGCTTGGCCGGAAAAGCACTAGCCTTGGGCGCCGAGGCCGCCGAGTGGATGGCGTGGGCTTGGGAAACGGTCACCACCTCCCAGGGTTTAGGGTTTCGGTTTTATGGTTCAAGATTTGGTCTTCAAAGTTTAGGGTTTATGGTTTAGGTTTAGTCTTTAAGGTTTAGGGTTTACAAACGAGGAAACGGGAGGTCCTACACCCTGAACCACAAGCCTTATGAGCAACCTGTCACGGACTCTTATCCTGTTTGCAGGGGCCGACGGATGGTTGCAGATACAACAGGAATAATTCACGTCGAGGCTGGACAGGTTCAGCGGGCTATGGCTCGTGCAGGCCATATATACATGTATATCTATATTATACATGTTTTTCTAGAGCGGCAGTCAGTCCACTTGTGGCACAGCTTCTGCTGACACTCCACAATCGATTGTAACGACACTGAAGACACTTTGCTCACCACCGGGAAACCAGCAAGACAGAGAGCCAGCCAGTGGGCTCAAGCTGTAACCATCGCAAGACATTCGGAAATTCGAGTAATGAGAAATATAGTGATGTACCGCATCCGTCAGGGTCAGCAAGCAGGTACTATTCGCAAGAATACACGTAGAATGCTGACAAATGTCATGACATGAGCATCAAGCGACGAAGGTGTAGATCGTAAACTGGAGTTGTGTCTTTTTCGTTGATTCACCAACTTCATGCAGCGCCAGTGCGCACCTCGTCATTGTCGGCATGGATCAGAAGCAGCGGCACCTGCCCTGCACGAGGACCTCGGCGACCACTCCGTCTGCAGTCACCCGGTCGCTTCGGCCATCCGTGAACATCCGGTTCTCAACACCGACAGCCCAACCACCCACAGCCCCAAGCTCCAAAAGCCATGAAACTCTCCGAAGCTCTCAAGAGCAAACGATCTAACTACCTGAAGTCCCTAAACCCTAAACCCTAACAGAAGCCCTGACATCCTCCAGGCAGACCATGGCGCCGTGCTCGACTGCATCCACCGGTGAGACAGACTTGAAGGAGTATCCATGCAGAAGTGGGTTCAGGCGGCTAGCCTCCCAAGCTGGGAATAAGGTTTAGGCTTGGTGTTTGGGGCTTCTTCCTTCTAAGATCGTGATCACGAGTCACGAGTCCTAGTTTAATGCTTGGTTGTTGGCCTGGTGGTGGCGTAGTTGCCACTGGCTAGTCGATCCCTCTTTGCTTGCTTCGCCGTGGAGCTTCTCAGGACAAGGGTTTGGTATTTTACAACATCAATGACCAACTTACTTCTCGGTTGCATCTCCGCAGCTCGTAGGCGCATGGTCCCATAACTCGAACTTTCAAGGGCTTAGGCTTCGGCGATTCTCTATGAGCGCGCAGGGCGAAATGGATTTGGGCTTGGCACACGTTTGGAGAAGGTGGCCCCATCCCGGACCAGAGTCGCATGTCTCTTGCCCCTCATGATCGCAACAACCCAAAGCCCACCCACACCCCGCACGCAAAGAGGTGAGGCTCTCAAAAGATGGGGCTTGTTTGGATCCCAGTGTAAAAAGGGTGGAACAAAACCCCTGCCTGCCCCCTTTCCCCTAGCCCGCCCGACCAGGTCCACGGTGAAGGCTGCCAGAGGCTGTGGAAACCTTGGTCCGATTCTGAACTTAAGTCCTAACTTGTGCAAAACCCATTTCGAGTCGCGTGGCTCCCTGTAGACTGAACTCGAAACCCATATGAGCCACCTCGCCCAAATTCGCAACATGCCCAAACCCGGCAACCTCTTCGTGCCTTAGCGCATTCAAAGCTGCACCCCAAAGACACGAAACAGCAAAAACAGCCAACTCCCGTTAGACGACGACATGATCCCGCCCTATAATCATCCCAAATACCTCAAATCCTGTACATCTTCTTGTAGCACCCTATAATCATCCCAAGTACCTCAACCCCTACCTATTTTCTTGTATACCTCATGCGGTAGTCCCCTAGGCCCTATAGTAGAGCAACCCAGGATCCGAAGCGTCGCGCAGACGCGGGATTCGAGCCTCGGGGATCGATTTGGAGATCCGAGCACTTTTGTTGTGACAGATCTGGTTTAGTGTTTACGATTTAAGGGTTAGGGCCTGCATCTTGAGCCACGCTCCCTACCGGAACCGTCTCGAAAGTAACATTCGGGCATGGTTTGCCGGAACCATGGCACGAACTCGACACCCTCGCGCCTTCCCCTTCAGTACATCCCACATCACACCAGCTAAAACGTGGGGGCCGAGGATTGTTCAACTCTCCACCTGCTCGATCGACTGTGGCCGAGTTCTTCTTGTTGTGCTTCTCCCTCTACACTATGGCGTCAAGTTGTGCTTGGACCGGCACTTCGGGTGTAGAAAGTCGCAGGGTTATGACGACGGTCACCTACATTTCAATGTTTCTGACGTGTTGGACGGCCAGCACATGGCGGGGGCATGGAGCAGGTTATTGACATCACACATCGCACAGATAAAAAGAAGGGCTCGGGTAGAGCTGGGGCTGGGGCTACGAGTTGCTTTTAAAGTTTAGGTTCCAAGCTGAGTCGGTAGGTCTGATGTTTCTGCTGAGGAGCACATCAGACAGCCGCGCAAATGCGCAATCCGTGGCAACACCGACGGCCCCTTCCAGGACTTAGGCGGATATTGGCGCAGCTACTGTAGCATCCCTTTCTATAAACATTATATTTGCGAGCGTCCACGGTGTCATTATTGCTCCCGGCGATACCATCTTCGGGCTAGCTTTGTGCCATGCAGCGCTCTTGCATGGTCTTGCATTGCGGCTGCTTAACCACTAACTGCGAGAATATGACCGCAACTGTAGTAACGGCAACAACCACAAACACTAACAAGCAACAACTAAGAACGAAGACCAGGAAAAAGCTCAGGCTTCGTGCGAACCTGGCATGCCGAAGAAGGACATGATTGCTACGAAGATGATGATAATGATGATGATGGTGGCGTTGGTGGTGGTGGTTGTAGTGGTGGTGGTGGCGGTATCATCATCGCTATGAACAGGAAAATCACTCAATTCAAATCTCACCCTGGGCACAGTCATCGCCACAATGATCGTCATCACGCCAATCATCATCCACAGCCACTGGTGCAGATGTCGTCATTGCTCGTACTACAGGTAACTTAGCACTCCTCGGGCTTGCTATGGAGATGGTGGCCATGAGAGCTAGCCCGCCCAGCGCTGTGCCTACATCCTCACCGTGGCCGATGATCAGCGCCACAGCACCACCCATGGAGGCGCCGAGCAACCCGATCTGAAGGGCAACAGGCTTGCGCGAGGTTGACCGTGTGTTGCAAGGGAGGCTAAACTCCCACACCCAGAGCTTCAAAGCCTAATCCACATCCTAGAATCCTAAAGCCCAAGTCCCGACATCCAGGCAAGAATGGATCCTGAATCCCCCATGCACGCTAAAGGACCAACAGCAGCCGCCTCTTTCCGGCCCTCTGCCGCACCTCAGCATCTTTGGGGCCATGGCGCCGAGCAGCTGCGACGGCCGCCTGCAGATCATCGGCTTTTAGGGTTTAGGGTTTGGGGTTTTGGTAGGGTTTAGAGTTTGGGGTTTAGGGTACTTGTCGAATTCGAGATTTCGTAGCCGTCAGATTTTCCAAAGTTTCCTGTGCGTGTGTGCATATATGCATACACATACATGCGATGTCTTGTCAGCTAAGTGAAGTCGTCGCAACCGTAATGCGTATCATGTAATGGGAAATCTAATGGTAAATGTATTTGTGCATACAAACCTAGATGCTCAACAACTGCGAAACGAAAAAGGGGCAAAAGTCTTGAATGTATTCCTGTATGTATGCATACATGTATGCATGCATGTAATGATGTAGGACACGATTAGATCGCATGCGCTTGTACTTGATCGGCCATCAGCTGTTCTACTCAAGCCCTTGACATGCTGTGGTGGCAGCCACTTACGCTTAAGGAAGAAAAACATGTACAGTAGACGATATGCTCGGACTCGTTGCTGTCATGGTTCTCCGATGCCTCTCCTACCTTTACTTCCTTTTCGGGTGAGGGTGATGCTGCGTAGGGGTGGGTGTGCTGTTTAGGCATTGGCTTGGAGTTGTGGTGATAGACCCTTCCATACCCATACGTTCTGATTCGAAGATTATGCTCTTTTGCTTTGCCTCCAAGCCACACTTCCAACTTCGACTCCCCATCCAACCCCCCACAACTGGATAATTAGATGCAATATTCTGACGAGAACGACTCCGAAACGAAGAATTTTAAGTTTCGAAACACCCCATTTGCTTGTTGATTGCGGGCACATGTCATCGGCCTTGGCATCGCGCTGCTCCAGATAACCCACCGATTGGCCCGTCTGCGCACGAGGGTGCGTTCACTCACGCGTGGCGTGCCAGTTCTGTGGTTGAGCGCTTTGGATGGTTGTTTAAGGTCACTGTCTGAGGCTAAAGTCTAAGGGTTCGGAGAGGAGCAATCAGGCTTAATGACAACTCGAAAACTACTGCAAAGACCATATGAGTTGAAACAGTACAAGGCTCGACGAGTATCCGCTGGGCACCTTTGCATCGGCGAAGCTGCGGAAGTCAAACATGAAGATGGAGTAGCCTCAGCAAGCATGCTGCTGCTGAGCCGTTTAGGCTTTGGCTTTGGGAATTCAAGCTTCCTTACTCCACCAGCTGTTAACAAGTGTCTCTTATCCCGTGCAGAAACCAATCCAAGGCATTCGCACAAGGATGGCGCAAACAGAAACTCTTCACAATGGCTTGGCTTGAAGCTGCCCGTCATAGTTGCATTCGACCTGCATACACATTCATTGCAAAGATCAGAACACAGTATAAGCATGGAGCGTGCTGCAGCTCGTTGTCATTCATGGGATCTTTCATATCGGCTGAACTCTAAACCCCAACACTGAAAAACCTCGAGTTTCTTCAAACAAGCAGCTGCACGATTCAAATTACGCGAACAACAAACTCACAACCCCAGACATGTTTCCGTCTTTCCCACACTTTCTTCAATACCAACACATCACAATGTCCCAAATCATGAGCCTTAAAGCACCTAAAATCGTAGCAACAAGCCCTATAAAAAACCATGCCAAGTCGAGCCCGGCAGCGTCGATCCCAGAGCCCCCTCGCCACACCCAGCAGGTTGGACTTACCTGAAACTTCGGATCTCGAGCTTCGGAGGGGGCTGCGTAGTGATGAAGAAAGGCTTTGGACTTGGACCTTCAGGTTTCCAGTGGCACAGCTTCGGATGTTTGTTTTGAGGGGCGCTTAACCTGGTGCAGGCTGGCATGGATCGATGCATGGATGTGTGGACGTCTTGGATACGTGTCTGTATGTACACATGCTGTCTTCCCGAGAAGTCAGTCACACATTTGGAGTATGTAGGAGCTTGCGGTTTTGCAGCTCTGCTTCCGTCGCTGCCTGTTCACTTGCATGCACTCTGTGGACATGATTCGTCTACACGACTACAATTGCCGGCAAACCCAACACCACCAACAACAACAACAACAGCAACAGCAACAGCAACAGCAACAGCCCCAGCAGCAGCGGCAACAACAACAACAACAGCAGCAAACACGAATACAACGTAACATCATCCACTTCATCAATTTTAGACCAGCAAGGCCACGACCTTGTCCTGCTGCCACGGGGCTGTTGTTGTAAGGGTGGCAGAAGACCAGAATTCGCCGGCTAGGTCTTCCAGCGCTGCTCTGGGGAATGAACCAGCCCGTCAGGGAGATGCCGTCCTCTTCGGAATCATTCCAGTAACCATCATCTCGAAGTCGTGATGAATATATAGAAGAGAAGTAGTAGTACAAGTCCTGGTGATACAGCTTTGATTATACATTACAGTCAGATATCAAGCCAGATGAACAAACAAAACTAGAGAATGCAAACAAAGCCTGCGCTCAGATAGTTCAAGGACTTTAGAGTCAGGCAAGTCTTTCGGTGTGGTTTGGAGTTAAAGGTGCTCGGGTCTATAAGGTTCTGAGCCAGGAATGTAAGATTTAGTTCATGGCCCCTTCATCTCGGAGTTGTGCCTTTGAGGACAGGCGTGCATGACCCGACCGGCGGAGGAAAAGAACCTCAGAACCAAACCGACACTGACAGCCCCATGACCATGACACGAGTCACAAGCGAAGAGATGCCGCGTCGGATGGGAGTAGGTCCGAAAGTCGCAGACAAACTACGGAATCAAGGCGACGCGGCAAGCGCCGTCGACCGGAGATTCGGGGCTTCGGGCAGGCATGTGCTCTTGCGCTCTCCCTGTGCGCCGCGCCTCGGTGAAGAACTGCACCTGCGACAGAGAGATGGGGACCATGTCGAGCCCCCGGAGCCCCTGAACTTTTGAGCCCGAGCCCGACAGCCCTGATCCCTCCACCGCGAACCCTAAAACCCAAAACCCCAAAGCTGCTTCAAGAGCCTGCTCCTGCGACAGGGCCCCTGGATATCTCCAACCCTGCCTCCTCGTAAGGCATATTCAAATCTTCCGGGGTCAGGACGAACTCGTCCGTGTATCCTCCCAGAAGACTCTTCGGAAAGGCGAGTAATGACATCAGTCTGATGTAGGTGCCTTATAGTAATTAGAATAGGCTTTTGGGGCATCTTACACTATACCCAAACTAACTTATACTAAGGAACCGTCAAACTAGTATAGGTCAGTCAGTAAGGCCCCTGTAGTGAGCACACACTTCTTCACGCTTAAGGCGATGACTAGCAAGGCGTGCACCAGGCTTGAAAAACACAGCTGCCAACTTCGCTGCTGAATTTGAGAGGAAGTGCAGGCTCCCGAGATCAAGCTAATGGTAGATGCTGCACAACGATGCAACGCCAGTGTTGTAGGACTCAATTCCCCGGAATTGTCAAATCACTTATCATGTGCATGTCCAGAGGAACGGGTCCTTCTGCGAACCCACGCGAACCCTTTAAAACGCCACTGCAGCGTGGATCCTGGACCCCTAAACATGGCCCGGCCTCTGCGCCGGCTGCCGTGAACTGCCGAGACCACATACCTTGCGCTTGAGCTAAACGTTTTTGTTGCGACTTAGCCTTAGGAATGTCAGCACCCAATCACGTCGCAGCACGATCTGGCAAACAAGACCCGTGATGCAGCAACCTAACATAATTGCACTCTAACTACACCCCTAGAGGACCCTAAATGCTCCGAAACACCTAAACCTTGAATGCCACTAAGACCAAGTTCAAGGCTTTGAAAATTGGCGGCCCGAGGTACCCGGCCACCCCCAGAATGCCAATTCCGGCACCCACAGCCGCGCCAGCAGCCTGAAACAGCTCGCGATGATTAGAAGCATCGAAGTCAAGCCTTCAGGGCACGACAGAGAACATCTAGGAACATCAACAGCCCCTCTCCAGCACGTGCAGCCCAAGCCATGCAGACAATCGAACGGTTACGGGCAAGTGCCGCGTAGAATCATGATCGAGAGTCTCACCTGTGCGGTGGTCTAAACCCTTTGGTCATGCTGTTCTAAAATGTGCAGCTGGCGCCAAATCTGTCGCATTGCTGCCGCGCGCTGCAGAGGAGCTGACGCGCAGACATTTTCAGCTATGTTGACTGACGCGCACTGACGCGTTGCAGTTTTCGGAGTTTGAAACCAACTCTACTGACGCACACACAGGAAAACACTCCAAAACGGACTGTGTCACCCAGATTCTAGTATACGACGTTATGGATTCGAAAAGAAGACAAGCTCAACAGACCATGCTGCAGCACACCGGTACTATCACCGCGTAACGGATGTTAAAGCCCGAGACAGAACCAGACTCCCGGAATTCCCAGAACACGTCCTTCTTTACCACTGCTGTTTCGGGGTTGTATGGGACGGCAAGAAAAAGCTTCGCCGGAAACACGGTTTTCTTTCCTTACACCATGCTGCTGCCGCAAGCTCGATAAACCACCAACAACAGAGACAATACACTGCATGTCCAAATTCTCAGAAAAAGACTCCACGGAAGCTTTCACTTCGGGTTGTTCACGCGCCATGCTCCCCAGAATATGCTTCATCATATTCTTGAAGTCCGACTCATCGTGAATGTGCGGTAGCAAAGTTTTCAAAACGGAACTAACAATACTGGACTTGTACTGCTTGGTGAGGTCGTTCCAGCGTATGCCTTTGGCAGCCATTACGCTTCAACCCCACTAGGATGTTTGAGCAGCTCGCTTCGGGAAGAGCGGGGCTGAGGGAAGGAAGGGGAATGGGTGGCCAAACCGACCCTTCACTGACGCGCCACTGTCGCGAAGCTGTCGCGCAGCTAGCGCGCACTACTGCATGTAAAACAAAATTTTCGGATCTACTTGTTCTTGCTTGCTATGTCGGTGTGTTCCTTTCTTGCAGAAGCAGCAGCAGTCGTAGTATACGGACATGATCCCCCAACAAGCAAAGCTTGCAGACTGAGAAGTCTCGGACATAGTGTGGACAAAGATCCCCCAATAAGCAAAGCTTGCAGACTGCGAAGTCTCGGACATGGTCTGGACAAACATCCCCCAATAAGCAAAGCTTACAGACTGCGATGTAAGCTGTGTAGTCCTTTAAGTTTCCGATCTTGTCTGTGTGTTCATGTAACTCATGTAGATACAGTATCTTGCAAGTTTCGCTTATGAACGCGAGGGAAAGTTGAGAGATACGTGAATGAAACCTCGCGTCATGTCGCCTGTGAAAGCGCATGAGTCCTGGGGAGAAACCTCGTGGCCTCACGAGTTCCGCAACAGTGTGTATCGCAGCAATACGACGTAGTAAGGCACACTCATAGACCCATAGACATAAACATTAAGATTTCTATATTATACAAAATAAGAAGCTTGTCGTAGAATATGTGCCTCATCCAATCACCCAGAGCTTCCACGACTCCTGAGCTGCGCCTAACGAGCACGACATGGCAGAAGTTAACACTCGTTTCTAGGCCACTGACGCGTCAGCTAGCGCATGAGCAAAGTTATAGTTTCACTGACGCGCACTGATGCTCACCGAGTCCCAGCTGACGCGGACCAGACAAATCTTAACGTTTATATAAACTCCCACAGCCGGAGTTTAGAACGCCGCTCACCTGTGACCACAAGTGCTACTGACTGCTACTGCCAATATCAGGCATGTCTTGCATCTAGGGGGGTCAGGTCAATTTTTGATCATGTTTGCAGCTTAGCAGCACCCCGAGCTGCGCAGGGCGGCACCGCCTTCCTCGATTCTGTTGGGTTCAGAGCCTCGTTGTTATGTTCTTGCTGCAACTGATGGTCATTATTCCGAGTAGCAAAGGTGTTTGTTGCACTGCTCATCATTGTCATCGGCATCCTCGCCATCATCATAGTCGGGAGCTGCAAGCACGAGTAAATGCCGTACTCGAATTCTCGCTGTTTCACAACACGCTTCGCCTATCGCGAAGTAGGTACTTAAGGGCCTTCATGTACTTGGTGAAAACTGGGATCCTGAACGAGACAGACCCCGTTATGGCCGGAACTTTGTCGACAAGTACATACCAAATGAAGAGACAAGGGATCCACACTCATTCTGAGTGTGTTCGGCATCTACACATACCAGTGTAACACCCTACAGATTCCTGAGAGGCAACCTGTTGAACCTCTCAACTGCAACCAAGCATCCCAAACCCGCGACGTCCATATCTTGGAAATGCTGACATCCAAACCCACTCAAAAACCCTAAACTGTCCTTAAATTTGAAGCCCCGGACCCCAAAGCGAAAGCGGCGAAACCAACCCTGAACCCAACGACCGCGAAGCCCCCGAACCCCACGTTAGACCTAAACGCAAAACCCTAACGAGGCCTAGAGAGCCCCAAGCACTAAACCTTTAAACCCCTAAACCCCGAAACCCCAAACAAAAACCGGACCTGCATTGCGACAGCCATCCTCCGGCCCGCTGCTTCAGAGGCCCCAAACGAGCGCTCCACATGCCGAGCTCGGGACTTGTTTGGGGTTTACGAGTTTCGGGTTTAGAGGTTTGGGGGTTTTAGGGCTTCCAGGGTGTAAGGGTTTAGGTTTTGGTGTTTAGAGGTTTCTGGGTTTGCGCGGTTTAGGGCTGCGGCGGGCTTTTTGGAACAGCACAGGGGTCCGTCGTGGCGTTCGGGGCTGTGCCTCCAGGACAACAGGGTCTTGGGCTTTCGGGTTAAGCGAGGTGCCCCCCTCTGCTTCCTTCTAGGTACACTGGTTACGCTGGTTACTTGCTGTTATCTAGGCAGTCAAGCTAACTGCTTTAAAGAAGAAGGCACGGGTTGGGTGGCCCTTGAGGCACTAGCGCAAGAAGAGATATGCTTAAGACAGGTCTTGCAGGAGTTGCTGGATCTTGAGCTGAATCAGCTATCACACCGAGGTGTCTTCATGACAGGACAGCTTTCGTGATCCCTGCAGAGCTCAAGCCCTACCTGCACCTTGAAACAAAAAACCTTTTCTGGTTACCTTCTTTTCTCATTGTAGGATCCTAGCCATACAATGAGTCTGCCTCCCGAAGGTGCTGTTTTCGCTGAGGTCAGGCGATGGCCTGAGTCGCTCTCCCATAACCCGAAACCCCAAGACCCTGTTGCCCTGGAGGCAAAGCCCCGAACTCCAAGACGGACCCCTGTGCTGTTCCAAATAGCCCCAGCAGCCCTAAACCGCATAAACTCTGAAACCTCCAAACCCTAAACCCTCAACCCATAGAGCCCGAAAGCCCTAAACCCGAAACAAATCCAAAGCCTCGGCTTTTTTAACCCACGAAGCGCGGTCATTGGCCTACCCTGGGCCACAAGGCGTGCCGGCAAAAGAAAGCAGGGTTTAGAGGGCATAGAAGGGTCATTGATAACGCTTTGCCAGGGCTTCACACTGGTGTTGTAGGGTTGCATACGGAGTTCTTACCGGGTGTTTTCGAGTTGCGTCAGAGTACTATCTGGTGCAGAAGGACACTGGGTCGTGTGCTACGTTGTTTAGAGTTCGGGGTTTCGTGCGGTTCAGGCCGTGCGGATGCTAAGGGACTTCTGCTTGTTGTTTTTGACAATGGCTTTTGTGTTTGGGGGTATGTAAGTAAGACCCCAGCCGGAGCCCCAAATCCAAAAACGCAGAAAACCCTAAGCCGTGAAACAAATTGCTGAAGGGGGGGAGGGCTTTTTCGAAGATCAGCGTTGCAAAGGCAACATCTGTGCAACCCCATAAAGTGGCTAGTAGGAGTACTTACTGGTTCGGGACTCTGGCGCTCTCCCCAGTCAGCAGTGCTTATTGGAAGTTTCAACAAATGCGGGAGCCAATACAGACCACAAGAAATCTTAGGGTCCCGACAAAACAGGCGTCAAACTTTCAAGCAGATAACTTCATACTGCCCTAAACAAACCCTGAGCAAAGTACCGCCAGCGCTTAGCTTTCTCATCATGGCTGCATGGCTGTAACCGCTGTCGCCTTTGATAGTAAGGTTTGTGGCTCAAGCGCATAGCCTTCCGGGCTTAAGGGATCTCGTCGTTGACTTCGTAGACGCATGTTCGGAT